ATTCTGTGATTTCTAACTTTCCGGGCAGGTTTTCTAAATAATGAACAACCCCCTCCCCCCAAAAAAAAAAAAAAAAATATAGAGGAAATATCTTACCAAATCATTCCCTGGTTGAAGACCAAACCCAAAACATTGCCACTGATGTCAAACTCTGCGTAGGATGGCTGCATGGGGAAAGAAAGGAGAGTTTGTTGTGGCTATAGGTACCAGCTGTTGTTTGCTGCTGGGTATGAGGATGCTTATTTAAAGCTGGTAGGAAGGGATTTCTTCCTTTTCATTCCAATTGAATGACCATCAGCAGCACAGGGAAAGCAAAATTTGAGCTGCTGCTTCTCTCTTGGCTTGCTGAAAATTGGAAAGGTGTACGGAGGTGCTCAGAGTTGCTCTGTGTTTCTGTCTTCTCCCCACTAATCTATAACCAGCTGTGGGCACAGGAGCCATGGCATGGGACTGGGTTTTACACTCCAGCTGGTGTGCCTGGCTACGGGATTACAGTTCTACCCTGGTGAAATATTGAATGTTTAAAAGGTGATAATGATGAGCTGGCGGGCAAATGCTGCGCCAGATACTTTCATGTGCTCAGGTCTTGCAGCAGCGGGCTGCTGGGGGGCAGAAACAGAGGGCAAAGGGAGAGAAATATGAGGGAATATATGACCTGATGGGTATCTGGTGGCATTTCGCTCTGTACTAGCCAGTAGTTAGGTTGTATTTTATCTGGTGTGGGTGTTAATGGTGAGAGACCCAGAAACAAGCTGCCCTAATCTATTGACAGTATTTGTTATTTTATAAATTATTATCCTGGTAGACTTGCCTGTGGTGAACCTGCTGTTTCTCCTACATTTATCTGCTTTTGTGCACACACAACTCAGATTACTTTTTTTGGCAGCTTGAAATATGTATAAAGCTTTTCATCTACATTTTCTTGAAAAAAACATTATTTTTTTTTCCCCCACTGAAATGCAGAAAACACGTTTTTAAGAAATGATGGGTGATGCCATTTCGCTCTGTACTAGCCAGTAGTTAGGTTACTCCATATAAAGCTGTATTTTATCTGGTGTGGGTGTTAATGGTGGGAGACCCAGAAACAAGCTGCCCTAATCTATTGACAGTATTTGTTATTTTATAAATTATTATCCTGGTAGACTTGCCTGTGGTGAACCTGCTGTTTCTCCTACATTTATCTGCTTTTGTGCACACACAACTCAGATTACTTTTTTTGGCAGCTTGAAATATGTATAAAGCTTTTCATCTACATTTTCTTGAAAAAAACATTATTTTTTTTTCCCCCACTGAAATGCAGAAAACACGTTTTTAAGAAATGATTTATGTTTGAAATGCCCCGTGCAGCATGTCTGTTTTTCACTCAATTTGCATGTACTTAATACTGCCAGCAGCTCATAAAGTTGAGGTTTAAGATGCTTGTCTTCTATGATGAAAACTGAAAAGGAGCCCAGTCAAGAGCCTTGCTTAGCTGACTGCTCACAGCTTTGGGAAGGGATGGGTGCAAACGTTATTTTCTTTGTTCTTTTTATTCCAGTCCATTTCTGCTTCAGATCTTTAGCTAGAGGTTAATATTGGCTTCTGTCTCCCATGAAAACAAAGGCAACTTTCAGTGCCTGCTGTCCTCTGCCTGGAGTACTTCTGTGTGAGAAGGCTGGGTTAGACAAGAGACTTATCCACTATATGCATTAGAAAAACACGTGTACAGTTGTGCTGGTGCCCATGCTAGGCTGGGTTAGAAGGCTAAACCATCTTTCACTCCTTTTTCATTCCTGGGCCGGGGGGGAAAATAAAAATCCCAACCTCTACTTGAGCACTAATGGAGTAATACACTGAATAGGTGAATCTCCTAAAGATGTAGGAGAAAAAGAGGAGGGAAGCCCACGGTGCTTTCTTCTTTCTATTACTACCACGGGAGCTGCTTGGCATGAAAGGAGAATTTTGCCTTTGCCAGATCACAGGGTGCAAACCCTCTAGTGCTGCCCCATGTTATGGGCTGCAACTTGACGCTACTAATAAATGTTAGTAATAAATAACAGTCCTCATAAATAAAGGCTGGGTTGGACTCCTCGTTTGCAAAAAATGACCTGCTGGAGCATGTCAGTCTGGTCGTCCCCTGACAGATACTGCATGGGGGTTGTTTCTCAGTGCAAAATCATCTCACAGCCTGGCTGGGCTGATGCTGAACGCCACAGGAAAGGAGAGAGGGAGGTGCAGAATAAGCCCTAAAGCAGCTCTTTTAAATTTGGCGGAGAGGTGGAGGATGGATGTCCAGGAAATTTATTTATTTTTTTATACATCAAGAAGTGCCTGTAGGACAGAAGAGGCTTCCAGCTATTTGTACAATGAAGATCTTAAGAATGAAAAAAACCCCATGTGGTATTTCTAAAGGTTGTTTTGAGGAAAGCATATTAAAAATAAAATAAAATCAAAGGCAGCTAGTGAAGTCAGAGGAGGAAATGGCCAGGAGGAGGAGGAAACCAGAAACTTCAGCAAAGCTGTGTCTTGTCAGCACATGCAGTGGGAGCAATTGCGTGCTGCTTGGCTGCCGGGGTTTTCTCTGAGCTCCAAAATCCCACGTTCCACCCTGGGAAGTATCCTCTGCCTCCCCCAGAAGAAATGCCAAAAAGTCCATGAGCAGCAAAATGCCTGCTATGCCCTGACTGCCCCTGCTTGACCAGGCCCCTGTAGACACCTGCAAAGCCCACCTCTGCTCTTCTCCAGACCCTTTCTGGAAACCCTTCCAGTATGGCAAGTAGGCAGCTGGTGCACTGACATAATTGTATTCTTGCCAGGTATTTCCATCTCTCCCTGAATCCATCTGGTTTTGTCACTTCTTATGTGAAACAATGGATTTCTTTTTTTTTCTTCTTTCTTCTTTTCATTATTTTGTGCTGTATTTGTGCAGCTCCACTACTGGCTGCTTTGGTAACACAGCCTTTATGAATACCAAAGAGCCCAGCACTGTTGTGTGTTGTGCATACAGGAGAGAGGAAGGAAATGCTCCTTGCTCCACTGCAGCAGAAGTTGCACCAGCTTCCAGCATTGATCAGAAAATGATGCTGTGAGTAAAGCACACTACTGCCTGTGAGGTGGACAACGAGCAGGAAGGTCTGGGGCTTTGAGAAGGGGTATAGAAGGTTTGAGGTTATAACAAATGAATGAAGATCAGATTAATTTTTTTTTTTAACTTCATGTTTTAAATGCCTGAGGTGGGAGAGAGATGTATTTTTGTAGGATTCTTTCTGGGATGAAGCTGACTGATGCAGAGAAGTGATGCAGATACTACCTACGCCAACTAAATTATCAGGCAAGACCAGAGAACCACTGGAATAATTCAAAACAAATCTGTAGCATTTGAACAAATGGTCCTAAATCACTTCTATCTTCCCAGCTACAAGACATTGACTTACAAATCCAGCCTCTAGGTCCCAGCACCAACAGTAATTCATAAATCTGACGAAGCAAGCTCGGATGAAGTCTCCCACCAGGATGGTTATGTAGGTCACCAGGATATCGGACACGGTGAGCCTTACGAACTCCTGCAATTTAAAACAAGGAAAAAACAATTAGCTCCTATAATTTCAGTAGCATATTTGGGATTGCATTTTTTTTAATTTTTTTATTAAGCCATTTGTCTTTTGTCTGACAGTAGCCTTCAGAAAGGCATGCTATGAGCAAAACTCTCTGCTGGTTTTCAAGCACTTGGCAGTGCCCAAGCTTTACCTCTGTGCTTGGGAACCATGAGCTCTGTTAGAGCTGGTAACCCTGATAGTTGTTGTTAGCGTTGCTGACTGCGCTGTATGTTGTGGCAACATGTAAAATGTGAGCAGAATGTTAATGCTGCAGTGATGCTGGTGTAAAACATGCATATGCCAAGGGTAATTTTGATTGTGGAGAGCTCTGCTATAGCTCAGCTCCATAACCTTCCTGTGGTCTCCTGAGGAATTTGCTAAGTTGTGAACAAGAGCTGTGAGGAAGTGTGGAGAGGTGTGCAAGACAAGAAGGGTAAAACGGCAAGCAGAAGTAAGATTTGTAGGATGGGGATGGCTGATGTCCCAAGGATTCAAAAGGAAAAACGCTGACAAGAAAAGGTTTAAAAGTCTGAGGGGGGGGAAGAACCTCAAGGATTTGGAGGATGACAGCTCAGTTGCAGTGAGGATCAGTCTCTTCCAAGGAGCCACGGTGGCTGGTCTTTCCTCTCTTGACTGAAAACAGCTTGGCTGGTGAAGACCCATTGAGTGTACACACTAAGGCATAGCCTTGTAGCTTGGTTAAGCCATAGCTATCTATATCAGCCAATAAATAACTGCTTTTGCTTTTTAAGTGGTGCATAGTCTGGCTGCAGACCATCTTGAAAGTTGCCCAAAGTGGGAAGGTTGCAGGGTGGGTTTGTGGGGTGAAACTCTGAAGACCTGAAGGCCACCCTGTGTCCGTTCCAGAGAGATTATTTTTGCCTAATTCTGCTCTTGTTCCCTGGTGTCATGAGTCCCCTTGGTGCGTGTCCTCTGGTTGGGTTTTACCAACATGCTCTGAAGCTTCCCTGCAATGTGAACTGAAGTGGAGCAGTAAGTGGCAAAGAGAGGTTCCTTCAAAGGAAGAATCAGCCGTGATCTGAACCAAAGCATGATGCAGGCATGGCTGCAGAATACCCAGCCTCTTCTGCCCTTCATGGAAAAGGCCACAGAGCTGTGCATGCCCTGGGCACATCTAGCTGGGAATTTCACCACCACAGCTTGAGAACTGCGGCCAAGGATTTATACTTTATGCGAGATTCAGGAGAGGAGATGCCTTTTGCGAGGAAAAAAAGTCAAGTCTGGAAATGCTAAAAACATCAACAACAACCCCAAAGCAGCCCAGAGCCTTACTACATAATGAATTTCTTACAATGCCAACAGTTGTCTCCCAGCAGGGTCCCCTGGGCACGTCTGCAGGATCAAGGGGAGGTGGGGTGGCGGTGCTGCCGTTGCCTGCAGATGAGTTGTGGTGGCCAAGCAGTGTCCAGCGCGTGATGTTCTTCACCACATCCTCTTCAGCCAGCTGCAATGAAGAGACCCCCCCGGCCAAAAATGTCAGGAAAGGGGGCCCCAGAGGATGTGGTTGGAGACACCCAAGGGTGTTGTGTTTCCCCATCCTCCCTACCAGTTACTATACTTTATATAAGCATTTGCTGACAAGAGAATGGCAGTGCTGTCGTGGGAAAGGCAAATAGCACAGAAACCCCTTCCCTTTTGCCAGGAGCAGGGGAGCAGCAGCCCCTTCAGACTGACAGCAGCTCGGGGCACTGTGAGTTTTTGGGGAGCCAGGCCTCCTGCAAAACCAGTGTGTGCAGAGGGAGCTTCCACCCAGTTCTCCTTCCTCGCTTTCTTCATCGTTTTTTCGGGGCAGAGTAAACCGCCCTGATTCCTCCAGTTCTTCTCAGCTTAGAACAGTCCCATTTTTTCCTGCAGATTAGTTGGACGTTTATCCTTCCCTGCAGTTATCTGCCCGCAACATGCAGGATAATGTTAGAGAGGGGAGGGCAGGGGAAAAGGATTATAAACTATATCCTCGGGGTCTGCATTAATAGAAATTGCAAATAGTGTCAGATGGAGAAAAAAAAAAATTGTGTTATCCTAACAGGCTGTGATTATCGGAGACAATAACCACTGTCTCTTCTGGGCTGTAAGAGTCTCTCTGGCAGCCCCTCTTGGTTGTGAGTCTCCCCAGAGCATCACAGCCGGTGCTGGGGAGGGTCAGGGAGGGGAGAAGAGGGTGATTGTCTCTGCTGGGGTAGGCTTTGCTCCCCCCTGGCTCTTGGCAGGGCTAGTGGAACGTGGGCTTTTCGGCTCAGCTCTTACTTTTTCGTTGACGTCATCCATCAAAGCCAACAAGAAGGTGTAGAGGTTCCCGAGGAAGAGGGCGAAGATGCGCCCCAGCTGCCACTTCAGCCCGATGCGGGGATGGTAATTTTCCAGCGCAGCGATGGTTTCAAACAGGGGAGGGCAAAACATGCCCAGCAAGGACATCACGATTTCAACCTGCCACGTGAGGAAAAGAAGATTACCCCCAATAGCATAGTCATAGAGTCATAGAGAGTCATAGAGTTGTCCAGGCCGGAAGGGACCTCCAAAGGTCATCTAGTCTGACCTCCCTGCAGTCAGCAGGGACACCCCCAACTAGACCAGGTTGCCCAGGGCCTCGTCGAGCCTCACCTTGAATATCTCCAGGGAAGGGGCCTCAATCACCTCCCTGGGCAACTTGTTCCAGTGCTCCACCACCCTCACAGTGAAGAACCCTCTCCTAATCTCCAGTCTAAATCTGTTCCCCTCCAGCTTGAAGCCATTGCCCCTCGTCCTGTCACTGCAGGCCTTTGTAAACAGGTTCTCCATAGCCTTCCTGTAGGCTCCCTTCAGGTACTGGAAGGCCGCATTAGTCAATGGCAACTATCTTTCTTAGAGCAGAGGGAGGGCTGCTGGCAACTCATCAGCAACTGGTTGGAGCTTCCAGAAGGATTTATTAAAGGAGAGGGTTCCAAAGCAAGCTCAGCTCCTGGCTTTGCTTAGTGTGCAGGCAGCACAGCGTCAGACCCGGGGCTGGGTTGCATGGCTTGCTCTTGCGGGAGCACTTTGGCTGTTATCTCAAAGGGATGAGCTCTGAAGAATTTGTTCCCTGTCAGCCCAGGCTCATGAATATTTAGGTTCCTCGAGTCCCTCATAGCACTGCTTGCATCAGCTCCAAGGTTCTTATTTTAGTTTGGGAGGAAGCACAAGACTTGGCTTGTGTGTGTAGAGATGATTAGTCGATGCTAATGTTTATTTTCCACGTTCAGCACCTTTGCTTTTGCAATAAGCAATTACAGATTTGAACGGAAGCACATCAAGGACTTGGTTTAAAGCTCAAGAAAATACCTCCTAGTGGTATTTTTGTTCCTCTATATGGTGGGAGGTGCTAAGCTGTATTGTGGTCAATTGGCAAGTCAGTGTTAGCTCAGGCATGGCTTGTAGGCTCTATCATTTTTACAGATTCGCTGGGAGGTGATTCTACCCCTCTGCTCTGCGCTTGTGAGACCCCACCTGGAGCACTGTGTCCAGCTCTGGAGTCCTCAACATAGAAAGGACAAGAACATGTTGGAATGGGTCCAGCAGATGGCCGTAAAGATGATCAGAGGGCTGGAGCACCTCTGCTATGAAGACAGGCTGAGAGAGCTGGGGTTGTTCAGCCTGGAGAAGAGAAGGCTCTGGGGAAAGCCTTCCAGTGTCTGAAGGGGCTACAGGAGAGCTGGGGAGGGATGCTTTGTCAGGGAGTGGAGCCATAGGACGAGGCGTAATGGTTTTGAATTGAAAGAGGGGAGATTTAGATTAGAAAATAAGAGGAAATCCTTTGCTGTGAGGGTGGTGAGACACTGGAACAGGTTGCCCAGAGAAGCTGTAGATGCCCCATCCCTGGAGGGGTTCAAGGCCAGGCTGGATGGGGCTTTGAGCAACCTGGTGTGGTGGGAGGTGTCCCTGCCCATGGCAGGGGTTTGGAACTTGATGATCTTTAAAGTCCCTTCCAACTCTAACCATTCTATCATTTTATAGCCTGATGGTGCCCGTTGGCCTGCGGAGGACTGTGCCTGTGTAGCCACTGGTAGGCTCTGACTCACAGGTCTTGCTTTCCCTGCTTTTCTTCTTTTCAGGAGAGGGAACAGTACCCAGGACTATAGTATATAGTCAAATCTCAATTTATCACCAGGAAAATCTCAGACATTAACTTTTTTTTTTTCTTAAAATAGGATTTTTTTCTTTGGGAAAGGTTCACTGAAATAAATCAAACCATTTTTGTGAGAAAGTGCTGTCTTGCTAATGTTTTCTGAGGGAATTATAAAAATGCGTGGCTTTGACTGTAATTTGGCTTTGATATATAAATACATGATAATGTAGTATGCATTGAAATTAAGCCTTTCCATAGGTTGAAACATAGATTTAAACTTCTCATTCCAAAATCCGACACACAAAAACTTTGACAACTGAAATTTTTCTGCAGGTTGTAAAATCTTATTCCCGTTATTCAAGATGGATGATAAAGATCTGAGTTTAGCCTTATGTCTGATCATGGGCATTCCTAACATTTGGAGAGCTTTCTAGCACAACACAATTTGTAAACATTGATATGTGGCTTGAGGTAGATGCTTTAAAAAATGGTCAGTGATGTAAGTGCTGAAAGCCCATTGACTTCTTGTGATTTATTGTAGGAGTATTTTCCCCTCTTTGCAGGAGCTGTTAAATTGCCCTAGAAACTGTCACTGAGACCAATGTGCTTCCCAGCTAAGGGGACTTCTGGACCCTGGTAGGGAATCCCTCTGCCTTGGATACTGTCCTGAGGTTGTGGCAATTATTGTGCTGATGTCCGAGCAAATTATCACGGGGTAAAACTGGAAGCAAAATTTCTTTACCTCATTTCTTTCATACCAACCAACGTTTTGCATTTTGGAAAACGTCTGGGAGCGTTTCACCACAAAATAAATGAGGTAGCCGCTCCCGCACAAGCAGCAGATGATGAGGACATTGGCCAAAACGCGCAGGAACCTCCTCAGGTGGATGTTCTCATCCTTGTTACTTTCTTGCTCGTCCACAATAGACTCCTGAAAAAACAGGAATGCTCACAGAATGGGAGAACGTACCTTGCAGCACCGAGCCTAAGGCAACATTGGATGGTTTTCCACCCTATGAGATGTAATCCCGTGCTATCCTGGCTATGTTGAACTTGGGAGTTTGTGTTAAGCTCAAACAAAGCTTCCTACAGGCATCCCGGTTTGACTGAAAAACGCCAAATGGCAAACAGTCAGCCATGTCCCAAGGGAATGTGGTGGGGGAATTGTGCTCTGAAGTAAACCAGATATTTTTTCAAATCTGAAAAAATTTGTTGGGTTGACCTACGGCATGGGAGCTGGAGCTGTGGTGGTTCATCTCCATACCTTGGTCATATGGAGACATACAGGTACTCAGATTTCCCCTTCAACCTCTGCTACGGGTAGGCACTGGGAGCAACCCCAGAAGCAGACAGAGAAATGCTGGTTAGGGTTACCTTGAAGCTGGTGGTGATGGATGCGAACTTGTTGTCTGCTGTCTCTGGGTTGCCAATGAGGTAGTCCCAGCTGGTGAACATTTTCCAGCTGAAAATGAAGTTGTCATCGTCCCCGTCTGCTGTATTTTCGTTGGCATTGCGAGCCATCCTGTGCAAGGACACGTGGTGGCAAGGTCAGGGAGTGTTTCACAGAGCCACCATGTGTCCTTCAGCCTTGCAAACAGCACTGGTGGCTTTGGGTTACTGGTGGGTAAGGAAGGAGCAGAGTGACCATTCTTGGGGTTTGGGTGTGACTGTCTGGCACGTGCTGTGGGGGTTCAGGTTGAAGGAGGACTGAGCTGTCAAAAGGGGTCTTCAGGAGCATACAGGTCTTGTATTAGAAACAGTCATGTAGAAAAAATCTAGCATAGGTGATTAAAGCAGATTAAGGATGGCTTCCATCAGATAATTCATGAAGAAATTCTATTTACAGGGCTTCTGGGACCTGGGGTACATTATATGATTATAGCTACCTTCAGTTAGTTAAATTTAGTCAAAAGTCACTGGTGCTGTGCAATACACCCACTGCAACACAAAGTTTTTGTGAGATTTCAGTAGCTGCACAATGCTGGAGCCAAAGAGCTCGCAGCAAACCATGCAGGGAGCGAAAAAGGATTATTCTCGTTAATCAGCAGAGGAGCAGATATGGCTTCTGCTCTTCCCTCTCTATTATTTGATCCCTGAAATCCTTCTGTAACTCCCACTAGAGTTCCCAGCACCAGTCCCTCAAGGAAGGTGAGACAACAGATGCTGCAATTTCATGGCAAATGTACAGCAAATCCCCATGTCCCACTCCAGCCAAAAGCTCAAGAGGCTCTTTCTGCTGCACAGCAATAGGGCCTGTTTGGAGAGCGATACAAATCCATGGGCTTATTCTTTCTTGCAAAGGAAGGATAACCTTTGCATGGTGTGGCCTTTTGAGAGAGACAGAGGGGTTTATTTTTGGCTTTGCAGAGACTGTCTCAGCAGCGAGAGGTGCCTTTGCTGCATCCTTGGTGCCCTGGGGATGCTGCAGGGGCCTCCCTGGTGCCCAGGGTCACTGCACCAGGGGCATGGACATTGGGACCCTGCTTAAAAACTCCATTGATTTGTTTGGGGACTCATCAAAAAAGTAGTCTGGTAGCGTTTGGCTATTTCCTGTACCCCTTGCACTATCTGTGTGACTTATGTTGGCTTTGAGGAATGTTTTTTTTAAAACAAAAGGATGGGAAAAGGAGCCTTTTGAAATTTACTGTAAGTAAAACCCTCCCTCATGTACAAAAACCCACCTGTTTGACAGCCTTGTAGTAATATCAGAAGAAGGGTTAAAGTGATGCAGAGTAGAAGAGGGCTGGAGAAGGAGGTGGGAGGGTTCAAGATAATGCACTTGAGCACAGGGCTGAGGCAGGGGACTGCCCGGGGTGTCCACCAGAACCAGGGAAGGTGGATGCTGAGGCCAAGTGAGTGATCACAGCAGGCACAAAGCCTCCATGCTCCCCCTGCCATCCAGCCAAGGCTGGACCGAGCCATGAGCTGTGCCCGTGGAGGGGAACCCAGCTGTGAGACACATCTGGGTGGGCTTTGCAGAGAGGAAAATGCCAGCTGTACTTACGATCTTATAACAACCATAAGGCTGTAGCCAAAGACACTGATCCCAACCATGAAATAAGCCATCGGCAGCCTGTATTTTAACCAGCCAATTGTCCGCTGGTTGTTGTAGTAGCCGTAAAAGAGCGCCGAGTACTTGATGTAGCCCTGGAGGAAAAGCAAAAGCAAACCTTTGTGTAAGCTGTGCTTCTGCAGGGAAGAGGTTCCTGGTAAAAACCTGAAGATTTAAACCAAGGAAAAGCAACTTGAAATAATTTTTAGTGTCTCCTTCTCAGCTGACTGCTGCTCTGTCACCTTTGAGAGCCATCATCCTAAGAGCTTATCCTCCTAAAGAGAGGGAAGAAGAGGTAGGGCACGTCAGGGGATATTGGCTGAAAATTAAAGTGCAGTTATTATCCATCACTGTTTCATCCCTCCCAGAAAAACCTCCTTGTTGCTCTTTTTGACTGTAGCCCACCTGTTTTTCTAAGTCATTATCAAACACTCATATCTTGTAGAAATGCTCTAGCGAAGGGGTTTCCCACCATGAAATGAAACTTTTCCTTTCAGCTAGATGGCAGCTGATGCTCGGTACCCTGCAGAGTTAGTTCCTTTTACTGGCTACCACCTGCAGAGAAAACATAACTAAAGACTACGATCAAAGCATTACTTTCCTATGGAAAGCAGAGCTCAAGACAAAGTATCAACCACATTGTCTCAGGTAGGTGTATTTTTTGCTGTACAAACTGTTGGGAATCCAGCAAGCAATCTGCATTAGCTAGCAATCTCTCCTTATGTTTCTGTCATATCTCATCCAAGTTGATGTGTGTCATTGCATATTGTACTTCTCTATTTTTTGGCTGTAGTCTTTCAGGTCCTTAGCATGGTTAATCAGTCTGGCCATGGGAGCTGAACGAGCTCCCCTCTGATCAAGCCTTTGGAAAGAGTGAGATTGAGACATAACTTGAAGCTTATATCAGAGGCTGTGTAATGGATCTTGTTTAGAGACATTGAATAATTTACATGGGAAGGGACCTCTGGAGGTCATCTAGTCAAGCCCCCTGCTCAAAGCTAGAGCTTATTTCAAAATTAGCTGTGGCTCAGAGCTGTGCCCAGCTGAGTTTTGAAAATCTCCCAAGGATGGAGATCCCACAGCCTCTCTTCAGAACCTCTCTTCCACTGTTTGACCATTCTCGTTTAATTAATTAGGCTAAGCTTCCCCAAAGTGCTAGGTTTTTCCTTTCTACCTAATACAAAACCTCAGTATCCCTGGGTGCCACATGAGCTGCGTGTTCACCCTGCATGAAGTACAGACACGGGGCAATTTTGGACGTGTTTCTGCCAGTGGTGCTGAGCCTGTGGCTGGCACACCATGGCACAGCTGCCTGGGGCTTGTAACGTGTTATCTGTAATGTGTGTTGGGGAGGTGTAATGAAAAAAGCCTCGTAAAATATAAAGATGATGCTCCTGGAAGGTGCCAGTGAAAGTTTTTTTGTTCTCAGGTTGTAATCCCAAACCTTTGCCTTTTTGATTCATCAAATGGTGGGGGCTGAAAAATGAGTTTCTCTACTCACATCATCCAGTATGTTCTTTAAACTCCATTTGTGAGATGCTGTGTCTGGTGTCCAAGTGAGATTTATTCCTTTCTACTCCTCTAGAAATCCATGACGTGACCTCCTTGCTGCCAAAGCAGACATTTCCCTGGCTCCTCTCTCTTGAAATGTATTTTTCAGGATGATGGTATTGACTCTTCATTTTGTACCCGCTCTGAAATATGTTTCCCCATTGCACTTCTCCTGTGGCCCGTGCTGGAATAAGCATCTATTCGTTTTCAAAGGGCAAGCCTCTGTGAAGGGCTTAATTTGACATCTTCTGGCTGCAGAGGGTATAGGTGCACGTTGTTGCCCCATACTTGAGCTGGTGTGACTGGTGTCAAGCAGCAAGGGGAGTGGGTACGGGATGGGGACCTGTATGGCAGAGGGGTTCAGAGGATCAAGCCCCCGGTGACAGCAGGGGAAGGTAGATGTACATGCCATGCCATGGGTAGGAGACTGGCAGGTCATGGTAGCCAGCCCTTCATGCAATGGTACAGTCTCATCCAAGAGCAAATTTCCTTACTGATACATGTATAGTTTGTGTTCTCCTAAAATCAGCAGCTGCAGCTCAGCAACGTTCCTGCAGGGAAATTTTTGGGTTTGTTTTGGTGTTTGGGTTTGGTTTGGTTGGTTTTTTTTTTGGTTTTAGGTTTTTTTTTCTGGATTAATGAGTTTAAATGCTGCTGCTTATATTTTTACAGTCTGATGCCCCAAATGAGCTTTTTGTTCAGTGCAATGTTATTCAAAGTGCCGCCTCTGAAATTGGGATTCTGGCAAGTGGGTGACAGTGCTGGGAGAGAAAGAGCTAAAGGGATCCTCAGCAGAAAACGATGGTTGAATTAGATGATCTTAAAGGTCCCTTCCAACCTAGACAGTTCTGTGATTCTAAAATGGGAGGTGAACGAAGGACTGGCCCTGTCAGATTCCTGGACATTTGAAGCCTTATTAATGAATTAATTTAAATAATCTGGTTTACGTTAAAGTAGTTGTTGGTAATTTTATTATCTAAGGAAATTGTGATGGGGTTTATCACAGAAGGACTAAGTCCCACGATTGTAATACATGGGCTAGTGACAACACACTTTTAAAAAATATTTCCCCAAGAAGCAGCTTTCAAAGTCAGATCCCAAGGTATTGGCCACAGCAGAATCTCTTCATTCCCTACACACATATTTTTCTTTTTTGGGCCATCCCCTAAAACCACTTAATTTCTTTGGCCTTAAATCTTCAAAGGCAAAGAGTATCTAAGGGGGGGTCTGAGTTGGGGTTGCAGCCAAGTGCTTGCAGGTGGCTGGAAACTGAGGCTTTCCCTTTGGGTCCAAGTGCTAAACTCTGGTTCCAGCTTCTGCAAGTGCTTGTCTTTGGGTCCAGCTTCAGGCTCGTGCATATTTGAGGGGAACAGGGATGGCAGGGACATGGGGACTGATTTCCTTCCCAAGTCTATGAGCAAATTCAGCGGTACGGCAAGATGCTTCCTGCCTGCAAAGGGGGTCCACAGCTTGAACTGGCCACCTGGCTGCCTGGTTTGGAGTAGGTATTGTGTTTCCCCTGCGTGCTGGCCACCTTTTCTAGTTGGAAGCAAAAAAATTGTGCATAAACATTTTTTTGGTTTTGTTTTTTTTTCAGAATAACATTCTACATTATGAATGGGAGATGATGATACAGATTTCTACAGACTGTTGTACACAGATTTAAAATACAGCAGAGATGTAGTTATTGGGTATTTTTTCCTCTGAAAAAAGATTTTTTTTTTTTTTTTTTTTCCCTGAGTTCATGGGGCAACTTTGTGGTTTGAATGAGTTGTACCAAGCTTGCTACTGGGCAGTTTGCATAGTCACCTGCTTCTACTAACGCTCATAGAAAAATCTAACTTTGGCTTCTTGTGGATAGAAATGCTGTGTAGATAAAAAGATATGGGGTTCCTAAATCTTGGGGGGTATTAGCCAGCTGTCTTGGGATGCCCTATGTCCCCTTTGGGATAAAAGTGTATATCTCTGTTCCTGCCACACTGAGAAATCTGTGTGTGTTTGTGTGTATACACGCACACACGCATGTGTGACACATGCCAGCCAGCAGATTTGTATATGGAGGTAGTTCAAATCTGTATGCAGGTGCCTACATGTGCACGTGCTGTTTTGGCCAGAAATCTCTGGATATCCACAAAGATTTCATGGCAGAAGGTGTCATTATCTTCTGGTAGAAATAGGTGCATTCATTGCTGCTTTATCTTGCAACAATTCTGTCCCTGCAGTTCTGCAGTAAGCTCTGAAGGGGTTTTGGAAGTATTCAACAGATCTCTTATGATTAACACTCCTCTACTTACCTCAAAATCCCAAAGAACTGAAAAATCCATAGCTGTTGCTTGTTCAGCCCGGGGTACGGTTTTCCTCGGCATGCTCCCGTATGGCATTCCCATCAGGACCTGGTGAATGTTAATAAGAGTGATGCATGTGTAGTGTAACACAGCGTACAGTTTGTAGCATTTTTCTTCCCAATGAGTCTTTTGGTTGGTTGTGGTTTTCACAATTTCAATTTTGGTTGATTTTTTTACATATAGATATAATTTCTTAATACCAGAGCAGCAGTTTCAAAATATTTAGAATTAATTTCACCCAAATAATCCAAAGAGCTCCCTTTCCCTGGTAACATCCATTGCACAGGAACTACTTTGCCAAGGAACTGTATCCCTCAACGACCGGCTCCGGTTTAAATGTCCTTAGTTTAGCAAGAAGTTCTTTGCTTGAACTTCATGGGTCTAATGCAATAAAGGGATTAGCTTTATCTGTTTATGCAGGACTCCTCCTTTGAGAGAAGTCTAGAGCACAGGCTCGAGCTTACGGTATATTTTGTATTATATAGTCTTGAACTGAAAAATGATCTCAAGGTGAGGTGAAGGGTAGTTAAGCTTGGGCAAAAAAGCCTACGGCAAAAGGATGCAAAGAACAGTTATCTATCATGGCATAGCCACTCCTGATGGCACCACACAAAGAAGGACGTGCAGCACGTCCAGCTGCTACTGCAGTCCAGACAGAGAACATCAAGGCCTACAGAGACTTAATAATATATCTACAAGCAGACTCTGGTGCCCATACCAAAATATCTCATTAGCATTCCTAGGCTAGAAAGGTCCTAGCACATCATCTAGCGCTTATTTGTAATTTAATTTCAAAATAATTTATGATTAAATGTTTATTGTCCAGCTACTCTCCGTATGGTAACAGCTCAGTAGGCAGTGAGTAACAGTATGCATACTTTAAGGACAAAAGCTGTTTAGTCGTCTACCATATGCACAGTTCCTAACAAAATACATTTGTATTGTTCAGCGCTAATGATTATGTCTCTTCATCCTGGGAGCAAACAGAGCTTTTACTTTTGATAGTGTGAACAACCACATTAAGGAGAACAAAAGCACAGTCCTCAGGAGAGACTCTGTGCTGCATTTTTGCTCCATAAAAATCTGCATCGAACAGAACAGATGCCACTGTCTGTGGATTGCACAGTCTTTAAGGACTGCAATGAGTAATTTAGCCAGAGCTGTAATGGCTACATTAAAAAAATCCTTGAATAAACGATCATATAAAGTTGACTATGAGATCCTTTTCCCTTTCCAAGAACTGTGAGAAATAAAAAAAAAACTAAAAATAAAACTCTTCCTTGGGAATCATCTGAATTAGAAATATGGAAGAGGAATATTTCCCAAACAAATGTTAGTTGGCAAAGTGCTTGGGAAATTGCTCCTTCCCTTGACAGCCCCTCCTGCGGGGCTCTGCCATGGCTGTTGCCCCAGGGCTGTGCCCCTTGGAGGGCCCAAAAAGGGTCTCCTGAGCCTGATGAGGGGTCCTGGCAGTAGCATCGTCCACCAGAAACAAGGGATTTCCACCCTCACTTTTAGTCTTGCTACTGCGAAAGCTCATGCAGCTGTAGGTTTGTCAGAACTGGACTCAACATGCCCAGTGAAAACTGCATTGCAGCTGGTGGCTCTGGTGATTGCACAGGAATAACCAGTCCGACTTCATCATCCGTAGTGTGATTTTTTTGCAATGCAGAACGGTGACGAAAATGTTTGGGGAGGTCTCATGCTGTCTTGGGGGTTTTCTTAATCAGTTTCAGAGCACGGTCCATTTCTTATGGCTCTTGTGGACCTGAGTTTGTACCTGAGAGGATTCCTAGATCATGTTTTACGCTTTAATCAAAATGTAAAAATAGCCTCACGTTAGGTTTTTGAGCTCCTGTTTTAGCTGATGGATGGGCAGGATCTTTTATAGCATTTTAGGTCTCCTGATTTCAATCCAGCTTTTGCTTCTGTGTCAGTAACAGCCTCCTAAGTTGATCTTTGTAAATAATTGTCTTTATACATTTCATTTTTCTAAAGAATTGCCTGTTATAGAATCATAGAATCATCTAGGTTGGCAGGGACATTTAAGATCGAGTCCAACCATTAACCTAACACTGCCAAACCCACCGCTAAACCGTGTCCCTCAGCACCACGTCTACCCATCTTTTAAATACCTCTAAGGATGGTGATTCAGCCACTTCCCTGGGCATCCTGTTCCAATGTTTGATAACCCTTTTTTTGAAGCAGTTTTTCCCAATATTCATTCTAAACCTTGTAAGACACTTGTTTGTGCTGTTAATCTCACATTTGTGTTAAGCAACAAGCAAGATATTACCGAAAGAAGAATTAAGCACTTACCTCTGGAATTATAACCAGTCCAAATATTAACCCAAAAAGGACAAGATTTACTCCGTACATCCATCGCAGAAATATGAAGTAGGAAGCAACTGAGGAGCCAAAATGACCTTGAGCCAGAAAACAAGTAGCGGTTAGAAGTTTGGAGGGGGTAAACCATCCTCAACAAGACCTGGCCCCTTTACCGTCAGGTCTCCCCAGCATATTGCCCAAGGCTCTCCCAACAGTCCCCACCACTGATGGTGATGGGAAAGTCTGGAGCTGCCCAGGGTGGGTGCTCCTAGGTTGGCAGTGGTGCCCAGGGTGAGTGGAGGCTGAGGACCAGGAGCATTGTTTGGATGAAGGTAAAGCTGTCTTACGAAATGTCTCACTGCCGCTTTGCGCAGCAAATTCCACTTACTCTCCACTTCTTTTATCTTCATCTCCCAGGGTATGCACTGGGTTTTAAAATTGTCAAAGTCTCTCTTGAATTTCACCCATTTCTGAAACAAGACAAAGTTGCTGTGAGCAGAGAGGAGCGAAGAGGGAGGCTGTAGGGCTTTCTAAGGTCAGGGTTTCGTAGCGCTGCCAGGAATAGGTGTGAAGTCCAAAGCAAAAACTCTGGTCTGGGTCTGATCTTCAATCCAAAAAGCCCCCCACCCCCAAGCATCCACATTCATTATCTGAATTTTACCTTCCCAGGCTTTTGGGAAGCTGTAGTTGTGCTATGAGTTTACTGTATTACATAGGGGTAGAAAATTCAGACCTAGCTCTGGATTGAAAGAATTGACACAGAGCCAACTTTGTTTAAACCAAAATTTAATTAGATAAAATAGTGAGCTTGAATCCTTCCTCATCAGACCAGTGGCTAAACTCCCGTTGATTTAATCATCTCAGGCCTGGCTCCATTTTTCACTTCTCTGTATAATCTCCATGACAACATGGAACTTGGCTACCAACTTCAAACTTACAACACAGCCATCATCCTCCTTGTTGTCTCATTAACGGGGAGGATGAAATTGTACAGGAGTCCATGGGACAGCACAAGAGTTAGGTACGGCCTGTCTTGTCCTTAGGTCTACCTTGTCCCATGGTTCAAGGTGTTTGGAGAGGGCAACCAGAAAGCAGTGTTTTTCCCTGCTCCTGCAAACCCTCCCTCACCTCAGGGAAGGTTACAATGAGATTCAGATGGGGGGGAAATGTTACCCTGTTCTTTCTGTAATCATCATAGATTTGAAGCTGGCTAGTATTTTTTTTTAATGTTGCCAGGAAGCTTTATTCTGATTTCCTGCCATCTCTTTTGCCAAATATGGGTTACTAAACTCTACCAAAATTGGGCTGGATGCACATCCAGATACCCAGGCTTTTCCCAGGCATTGTTGCAGCACTTACCTTTGCCATCATCATCTTATACGCGTACAACTTTTTGCCCTTCCCTTTTCCCAGAGCTCCTTCAAACTTCTCTACGAAAGCTTGTGCCTCCCTAGTTGGGAAAGAAACAAGTGGGTTGTTGGAACAGCAGAGGTGTCTGGTTTTCACCTCTGCCCATGCTGGTGGGAAAGCCACCGTGCCGCCCTCCCCGTGTGAAGGCAGGGATTTGGGCTCCCCGAGCTGTGTCTGGGGTGCCAGCTGTTACCTGTTGGTGATGTTGCTGCACCATGCAGAGCTCACCCATCCACCCAGAGCTAGCTAACAGGTCCCCACAACACTCATGATCACGCTGAGATGTGTCCCAAATCTTGCTCCCTGCTTTTCCCTGAGCACAGACCAGAAACCCGCCTGTTCATCTTGCTTCAGAGCTCTCCCACCCTGGCCATACCTTCTCTCTCCTGGTGCATCATTCAAGGAAAAAACCCAACATTTTCTAGTGAAACAAACTCCAAGAGGATGCAGGATTTCCTGCCGTGAATGCTTCCCTGGATAAATATCAGAGACATACAACTGGCCCAACAGGATAATCTCGGTGCCAGAGAAATGAGTGTGTACTGGTCAGGAGTAAAATCAAGCAGCAAATTGAAATGGGTTTTAGAGTTGGCTTCTAAGGGAAATGCAGTGAAAAGAACCTAGGTAGACGTTGTTAGAGTATGCTGAGTGTGAATAACATTATATCATATATTGATGTTGCTGATACAGCATGAGAAGGCATTAAGTTTAAAGAGTTGGGAGGTCTTTGCAATCCTAAACCTGTGGGAAGATACCTGCTTGGTAGAAATAGTTGGCTAGTTCAGCCCATAACCTTGGGAAAATCACCTGCAACTTTATTTGCAAGCCTAAAGTGTGATTGTTGTGTTTCTGTGATTGTTGTGTTTCTGTGATTGATTGTTGTTCTCCTTATGTTTCACATTCCTGATCCATGCAATAGGGCTAATCTTTTCTTGTCTCAGGGTTGAGTTAGTGCAGCCAAAATACGTAATGAATGTGCAGCACTCTGACAGCCTTTCTGGACACCCCTGCACCAGCAGTGCAACAATTTTATTTAGGTTCATTAGATGGTGGTAAGGCTTGCCGTGACTCAGGGGTAAGATGAAAGGATGGAGGTATGTTATCAGACACGATCCTAGGCAGAATTTTAGCCAGCAAAGGGAAAATATGTCAGAAATAATACTGCTTTGCTTTTTTTTTTTTCTTTTCTTGCAGAACTTTGCACTTTTAGGTTCATAAGATTTTATTTGTAATGAGCTCAGGCTTGTTACAGAGCCTGTGATTTAGCAAAGCTACTTTGATACAGTTTTCCTGCATAGATCTTTACCCAGATTTTTAGAAATAATTGGCAATGTTCAAGGCTCCTGATTTTAATGGAAGGTGGAGCAGGTCTTGGCCTTCAGGGTGTAAAAGAGAGAAGCAGAGACCCACAGCGACTGCCAGCACCACAGCCTGGTCACTGCAGCTCTGAGCATCCTCTTGGCAAAGACGGAGCGGGGACATCCCCACACCTCGTGGGACCGTGCACACCTTGCAATGCCGTCTTGAAAGCTCTCTTGGTAGAAAGGGGTTTCAGGTAATTTTTAACCAACAGAGCTGAGATTTGAAATCTCAGGGCATCCCATGATGCTGAACCTTGGTGTGGGAATGGTCCTGGTCAACCTTGCCCCGCTGCCCACCGCTGCTCTGCACTGAAGGATCTCTGCAGCTGCCTGACTTGTTCCCACATTCAGTGTGGACTTGGTGGTCATATTATCTTTACTCCATAAACCCCTGCAATTAATACCGTATTTTTTCTGAATAGCACTGTCTTGGGAAGTGTGAAGTAACACGGCACTTGGCCGCTCTGATTTCTGTCTGACAGTGGGCATGCATAAGCAAACCAGGGCACAGAGTTTGCTTTAACAAGTAGCTTGATAGCAGTGAGTCATTTGGTTTTAAATACAAGGGTAGAATGACCTGGCCATGGGTATCAGTTGAACAGATTTGCACCTTGTCCCTTCTCTGGTTACAGAGACAGAAAATCTAATTCCACATTTTAATTGTGACCATTTAAACCCAGACAGGCTGGCCAGGCTCTGCTGGTTGCTTTTTCTGACACTGGGGTGTTACAGTAGCATGCAGCAAAAATGGGATTTCTAGGAGAGGCAAAGCACATCTCACGGTCAGCAAAGACCCCATGGATGTGGGTTCTGGGTGCGCCAAATATGGGTTACTAAACTCTACCAAAATTGGGCTGGATGCACATCCAGATACCCAGGCTTTTCCCAGGCATTGTTGCAGCACTTACCTTTGCCATCATCATCTTATACGCGTACAACTTTTTGCCCTTCCCTTTTCCCAGAGCTCCTTCAAACTTCTCTACGAAAGCTTGTGCCTCCCTAGTTGGGAAAGAAACAAGTGGGTTGTTGGAACAGCAGAGGTGTCTGGTTTTCACCTCTGCCCATGCTGGTGGGAAAGCCACCGTGCCGCCCTCCCCGTGTGAAGGCAGGGATTTGGGCTCCCCGAGCTGTGTCTGGGGTGCCAGCTGTTACCTGTTGGTGATGTTGCTGCACCATGCAGAGCTCACCCATCCACCCAGAGCTAGCTAACAGGTCCCCACAACACTCATGATCACGCTGAGATGTGTCCCAAATCTTGCTCCCTGCTTTTCCCTGAGCACAGACCAGAAACCCGCCTGTTCATCTTGCTTCAGAGCTCTCCCACCCTGGCCATACCTTCTCTCTCCTGGTGCATCATTCAAGGAAAAAACCCAACATTTTCTAGTGAAACAAACTCCAAGAGGATGCAGGATTTCCTGCCGTGAATGCTTCCCTGGATAAATATCAGAGACATACAACTGGCCCAACAGGATAATCTCGGTGCCAGAGAAATGAGTGTGTACTGGTCAGGAGTAAAATCAAGCAGCAAATTGAAATGGGTTTTAGAGTTGGCTTCTAAGGGAAATGCAGTGAAAAGAACCTAGGTAGACGTTGTTAGAGTATGCTGAGTGTGAATAACATTATATCATATATTGATGTTGCTGATACAGCATGAGAAGGCATTAAGTTTAAAGAGTTGGGAGGTCTTTGCAATCCTAAACCTGTGGGAAGATACCTGCTTGGTAGAAATAGTTGGCTAGTTCAGCCCATAACCTTGGGAAAATCACCTGCAACTTTATTTGCAAGCCTAAAGTGTGATTGTTGTGTTTCTGTGATTGTTGTGTTTCTGTGATTGATTGTTGTTCTCCTTATGTTTCACATTCCTGATCCATGCAATAGGGCTAATCTTTTCTTGTCTCAGGGTTGAGTTAGTGCAGCCAAAATACGTAATGAATGTGCAGCACTCTGACAGCCTTTCTGGACACCCCTGCACCAGCAGTGCAACAATTTTATTTAGGTTCATTAGATGGTGGTAAGGCTTGCCGTGGCTCAGGGGTAAGATGAAAGGATGGAGGTATGCTAGGCAGAATTTTAGCCAGCAAAGGGCAAATAGGTCAGAAATAATACTGCTTAGCTTTTTTTTTCTTTTCTTGCAGAACTTTGCACTTTTAGGTTCATAAGATTTTATTTGTAATGAGCTCAGGCTTGTTACAGAGCCTGTGATTTAGCAAAGCTACTTTGATACAGTTTTCCTGCATAGATCTTTACCCAGATTTTTAGAAATAATTGGCAATGTTCAAGGCTCCTGATTTTAATGGAAGGTGGAGCAGGTCTTGGCCTTCAGGGTGTAAAAGAGAGAAGCAGAGACCCACAGCGACTGCCAGCACCACAGCCTGGTCACTGCAGCTCTGAGCATCCTCTTGGCAAAGACGGAGCGGGGACATCCCCACACCTCGTGGGACTGTGCACACCTTGCAATGCTATCTCAAAAGCTCTCTTGGTAGAAAGGGGTTTCGGGTAATTTTTAACCAACAGAGCTGAGATTTGAAATCTCAGGGCACCCCAAGATGCTGAGCCTTGGCGTGGGAATGGTCCTGGTCAACCTTGCCCCGCTGCCCACTGCTGCTCTGCACTGAAGGATCTCTGCAGCTGCCTGAATTGTTCCCACATTCAGTGTGGACTGGGTGGAGATAATTATCTTTACTCCATTAACCCCTGCAAATAATACTATATTTTTTCCAAGTAGCACCGTCTCGGAAAGTGTGAAGTAACACGGCACTTGGCCGCTCTGATTTCTGTCTGACAGTGGGCATGCATAAGCAAACCAGGGCACAGAGTTTGCTTTAACAAGTAGCTTGATAGCAGTGAGTCATTTGGTTTTAAATACAAGGGTAGAATGACCTGGCCATGGGTATCAGTTGAACAGATTTGCACCTTGTCCCTTCTCTGGTTACAGAGACAGAAAATCTAATTCCACATTTTAATTGTGACCATTTAAACCCAGACAGGCTGGCCAGGCTCTGCTGGTTGCTTTTTCTGACACTGGGGTGTTACAGAAGCAGCAGCAAAAATGGGATTTCTAGGAGAGGCAAAGTGCATCTCACGGTCAACAAAGACCCCAGGGATGTGGGTTCCGGGTGTGGTGGGTACCTGAGCACTGAGAGCTTCTTCACCATCCTCCAGGGTTTGTTCCTCATGGTGGAAATCAGTTTTTTCTTTTGCTCCACTTGCTCCATCAGCATCGCGAGCTCTTCCTCTGCCAGCGACTCCTCCTCAGATGAGTTGGAAGAAGCAGAGGAAGTACTGGGGGAGATACAAAAGAAAGGGCACAAAATGGAAGATCTCACAGGAGTTAGAGGGAAGGTCTTGCTTGGGGTGGGCATGGGACAACTGGCCCCCAGGGATCCCACTCTGATGTGGGCACAGTGCCTTGCTGTCCCCTGACTCGGTGCAATGCCAGCGTGGCCCCTTCACCCTCCAGGCAAGGCTGCTTCCAGCCAGGATAATGAAGAGGTGATTGTGCCCCACCATAACTCACCCAACATTGTGCTTTGGACCACGCTTCAGGTACAAAAGCGTTGCCTGGGGCTACAGCTGCCTCAGGAGAAATGTTTTTCACACCTTCAGGGGACAATGGAAGATATGGGGAGAAGCAGCGGGCTGGGACAAGCAAGATTTGGAAGAGGCTTGACAACATGAGAGATCTCTTTTCACCTGAACGTTTCTAAGGACCAGCCAAAAAAATGTGCCTAGATCTGAGTGGCTCAAACTGTCTTCTTTAAGAGCGCTTTTCTACCCCCGGCTAGGGTAGGTGCTAGGACTCCACTACATGGATGGATCTCATCCTAGCTGAGAAACAGTGATGGTAGAAGGCCCTGGAAACGATTTTTTCCTGCCATCTCTTTTGCCAAATATGGGTTACTAAACTCTACCAAAATTGGGCTGGATGCACATCCAGATACCCAGGCTTTTCCCAGGCATTTTCTGTTTACATTATTGCTTTCCACTGTTGTCTCTCTTTTGGGAGAGCAGTAACTCACTCGCAGCCTGTCGGTTTTGCAGTTCTGACCCATACACCACTGGCATGTTGGCTTCACTGCCAGACTGACACAAGGCACCGTACTCAGGGATTGTTTAATTACCTGGTTTTCCTGTCTTTCTTCTGTTTGTTCTCCCCCTCCTTTCCTGTCTTATTTGTTCTCCTTCCTTCGTTTTCGGACTCCTTTTGATCTTTGGTAGGAGCCTTTTTGCCCCTCTCTCTCTGTCTTCTTCGTTCCTCTCCTGCCTTTTTTCCATTGCTGTTTTTTCTTTGGTAGTTTTTTCTCCTAGAAGCTCTGTTTCGTGGGCTACAATTGTCTTCCTCTTTGCTCTCATCATCATCTTCGTCTTCCTCTTGCTTTTTCCCTTCAGGTCTGTTTGCTCTGCTCGTTTCCCTCCGCTGCTGTTTCTTAGGTGTCTTGTCCTTTTCTTCATCTTCTGCAAGGGATAAAAACAAGTACTTTGGGAGACACTCAGGTGGCAACATAAGGATTCATCAGAAAAGCACAGGCAGCCTGGATGCCTGATGCAAACCCTGGCAAAATCAACCAGCAGATCCCCGTTGACCTCGGTGGGCTTTGCATTATGCTCCGTCCAAGAACCACGTCCAACTCTTTGGGTAGGGAAATGCAGTGAAAAGAACCTAGGTAGACGTTGTTAGAGTATGCTGAGTGTGAATAACATTATATCATATATTGATGTTGCTGATACAGCATGAGAAGGCATTAAGTTTAAAGAGTTGGGAGGTCGTATGGAACTGCCATTTGAAACAGTGCAACTCGTTTTAGCGGATCAGTGACTGACACGTAGCCATAAGAAAGCTGGAAATTAGTTACAAATGCAAAAGCCCATCCATCAGAGAACACAGGCAGGTTTCTTCCTGACCTGTAAACATATCAGAACAACGGAAACAGAAACTGCAGCCAGTTTAACAGTGTGGTTGTTGGTGTGATGTGATCTTTACCCAGATTTTTAGAAATAATTGGCAATGTTCAAGGCTCCTGATTTTAATGGAAGGTGGAGCAGGTCTTGGCCTTCAGGGTGTAAAAGAGAGAAGCAGAGACCCACAGCGACTGCCAGCACCACAGCCTGGTCACTGCAGCTCTGAGCATCCTCTTGGCAAAGACGGAGCGGGGACATCCCCACACCTCGTGGGACTGTGCACACCTTGCAATGCTATCTCAAAAGCTCTCTTGGTAGAAAGGGGTTTCGCTCAGGGGTAAGATGAAAGGATGGAGGTATGTTATCAGACACGATCCTAGGCAGAATTTTAGCCAGCAAAGGGAAAATATGTCAGCTGTGATTGTTGTGTTTCTGTGATTGTTGTGTTTCTGTGATTGATTGTTGTTCTCCTTATGTTTCACATTCCTGATCCATGCAATAGGGCTAATCTTTTCTTGTCTCAGGGTTGAGTTAGTGCAGCCAAAATACGTAATGAATGTGCAGCACTCTGACAGCCTTTCTGGACACCCCTGCACCAGCAGTGCAACAATTTTATTTAGGTTCATTAGATGGTGGTAAGGCTTGCCGTGGCTCAGGGGTAAGATGAAAGGATGGAGGTATGCTAGGCAGAATTTTAGCCAGCAAAGGGCAAATAGGTCAGAAATAATACTGCTTAGCTTTTTTTTTCTTTTCTTGCAGAACTTTGCACTTTTAGGTTCATAAGATTTTATTTGTAATGAGCTCAGGCTTGTTACAGAGCCTGTGATTTAGCAAAGCTACTTTGATACAGTTTTCCTGCATAGATCTTTACCCAGATTTTTAGAAATAATTGGCAATGTTCAAGGCTCCTGATTTTAATGGAAGGTGGAGCAGGTCTTGGCCTTCAGGGTGTAAAAGAGAGAAGCAGAGACCCACAGCGACTGCCAGCACCACAGCCTGGTCACTGCAGCTCTGAGCATCCTCTTGGCAAAGACGGAGCGGGGACATCCCCACACCTCGTGGGACTGTGCACACCTTGCAATGCTATCTCAAAAGCTCTCTTGGTAGAAAGGGGTTTCGGGTAATTTTTAACCAACAGAGCTGAGATTTGAAATCTCAGGGCACCCCAAGATGCTGAGCCTTGGCGTGGGAATGGTCCTGGTCAACCTTGCCCCGCTGCCCACTGCTGCTCTGCACTGAAGGATCTCTGCAGCTGCCTGAATTGTTCCCACATTCAGTGTGGACTGGGTGGAGATAATTATCTTTACTCCATTAACCCCTGCAAATAATACTATATTTTTTCCAAGTAGCACCGTCTCGGAAAGTGTGAAGTAACACGGCACTTGGCCGCTCTGATTTCTGTCTGACAGTGGGCATGCATAAGCAAACCAGGGCACAGAGTTTGCTTTAACAAGTAGCTTGATAGCAGTGAGTCATTTGGTTTTAAATACAAGGGTAGAATGACCTGGCCATGGGTATCAGTTGAACAGATTTGCACCTTGTCCCTTCTCTGGTTACAGAGACAGAAAATCTAATTCCACATTTTAATTGTGACCATTTAAACCCAGACAGGCTGGCCAGGCTCTGCTGGTTGCTTTTTCTGACACTGGGGTGTTACAGAAGCAGCAGCAAAAATGGGATTTCTAGGAGAGGCAAAGTGCATCTCACGGTCAACAAAGACCCCAGGGATGTGGGTTCCGGGTGTGGTGGGTACCTGAGCACTGAGAGCTTCTTCACCATCCTCCAGGGTTTGTTCCTCATGGTGGAAATCAGTTTTTTCTTTTGCTCCACTTGCTCCATCAGCATCGCGAGCTCTTCCTCTGCCAGCGACTCCTCCTCAGATGAGTTGGAAGAAGCAGAGGAAGTACTGGGGGAGATACAAAAGAAAGGGCACAAAATGGAAGATCTCACAGGAGTTAGAGGGAAGGTCTTGCTTGGGGTGGGCATGGGACAACTGGCCCCCAGGGATCCCACTCTGATGTGGGCACAGTGCCTTGCTGTCCCCTGACTCGGTGCAATGCCAGCGTGGCCCCTTCACCCTCCAGGCAAGGCTGCTTCCAGCCAGGATAATGAAGAGGTGATTGTGTCCCACCATAACTCACCCAACATTGTGCTTTGGACCACGCTTCAGGTACAAAAGCGTTGCCTGGGGCTACAGCTGCCTCGGGAGGAATGTTTTTCACACCTTCAGGGGACAATGGAAGATATGGGGAGAAGCAGTGGGCTGGGACAAGCAAGATTTGGAAGAGGCTTGACAACATGAGAGATCTCTTTTCACCTGAACGTTTCTAAGGACCAACCAAAAAAATGTGCCCAGATCTGAGTGGCTCAAACTGTCTTCTTTAAGAGCGCTTTTCTACCCCCGGCTAGGGTAGGTGCTAGGACTCCACTACATGGATGGATCTCATCCTAGCTGAGAAACAGTGATGGTAGAAGACCCTCAGTTTTGCTGTTTACATTATTGCTTTCCACTGTTGTCTCTCTTTTGGGAGAGCAGTAACTCACTCACAGCCTGTCAGTTTTGCAGTTCTGACCCATACATCACTGGCATGTTGGCTTCACTGCCAGACTGACACAAGGCACCGTACTCAGGGATTGTTTAATTACCTGGTTTTCCTGTCTTTCTTCTGTTTGTTCTCCCCCTCCTTTCCTTTCTTATTTGTTCTCCTTCCTTCATTTCCGGACTCCTTTTGATCTTTGGTAGGAGCCTTTTTGCCTCTCTCTCTCTGTCTTCTTCGTTCCTCTCCTGCCTTTTTTCCATTGCTGTTTTTTCTTTGGTAGTTTTTTCTCCTAGAAGCTCTGTTTCGTGGGCTACAACTGTCTTCCTCTTTGCTCTCATCATCATCTTCGTCTTCCTCTTGCTTTTTCCCTTCAGGTCTGTTTGCTCTGCTCGTTTCCCTCCGCTGCTGTTTCTTAGGTGTCTTGTCCTTTTCTTCATCTTCTGCAAGGGATAAAAACAAGTACTTTGGGAGACACTCAGGTGGCAACATAAGGATTCATCAGAAAAGCACAGGCAGCCTGGGTGCCTGATGCAAACCCTGGCAAAATCAACCAGCAGATCCCCGTTGACCTCGGTGGGCTTTGCATTATGCTCCATCCAAGAACCACGTCCAACTCTTTGGGTATGGAACTGCCATTTGAAACAGTGCAACTTGTTTTAGCAGATCAGTGACTGATACGTGGCCATAAGAAAGCTGGAAATGAGTTACAAATGCAAAAGCCCATCCATCAGAGAACACAGGCAGGTTTCTTCCTGACCTGTAAACACATCAGAACAACGGAAACAGAAACTGCAGCCAGTTTAACAGTGTGGTTGTTGGTGTGATGTCCTTGAAAGCTGTTTACTTTTCAAGGCTGGGGATGGAGGTATTCTGTTTATATTGAGAGAAGGTACAGTTTAGGAAGCACCAGGTCTTGTTTCTCTGAGTTTTCTTTTCTATAGGAACGTCTGTATCCAGAGAAACAAAACCAACAGGTAGTCTTTCATGCACTTTTCATTCTTACCGGCATTGCAAGCTAAACCCCTCATTTGTCCAGAAGCCAGAAGTGCTTTGGAAGATCAAAATGGAGCATGACTTAATTGCAGAATATTACAGAAAGGAGAAAAAAATATTCAAGAAACCTCAAGCCCCTCCATCCTTTTTACCACCAGTTACATTAAAATCCATAGTAAGTTTTTCTAGATTCTTTTGGCTTCTGATTTTCCAAAATTTCTTACTGATGGAAATAGGGTGTTCAAACAACGAAAAAAGAGAAATGTGTAATTTTGGCACTTTCCCCAGGGTTGGAGAAATAGTAATGGAAGAAGGAAATTGTGCTGGAGCGGGATCCAGAGTGAAAAATGAGCAGCCTGAAAGGCAAGGAAAATAGAAGCAAAAAGAATTTAAGTATTTGCATTTTTGTTTTGGTGAAAAGTTAGAAATTAATAGCAAGCAAACAGGTTTTGCTTGCTAGTGGTAAAAATTTAGTAGGTGGTGGTTGTCACACTTGTCACTGGGAATGAGAAGGAGCTTTCAACTTATTTCTCAAGAGCTGTCGGGTGGGTTTCTGTTACTGTGTAATGGGACATCTCAGCTGAATTTCAGTTAGTGATCTGGATCAAAAGACCACCTACTCTCTCTGGGACAATGTGCATTTTCAGCAGACAACTAGCATGCAACAGAGCTGAGATTTGAAATCTCAGGGCATCCCATGATGCTGAACCTTGGTTTTCGGCAGACAACTAGCATGGTTTTCATTTGCAATCTATCAAATATTAGGTTAATATTAGCATTCATTTGTTACTTTTATCTTCTTTCCTTGTTTACCTGTATGGGGAAGGTGGATAAGATTGAAAAAATAAATCCCAGTCATTTGCTAATTACTTTCTCATATTTTGTGGGCACTGACAGCCTCCCACTCCAGGAGCATGGATGAAAGGGGACAGACTGCTGGAGAATGGTGGTTTATATATCACTATTAAAATCAAAGCTCAAAGGAACAATCTGCCTGCTTACAGGTAGCTTATGAAATGGTTCCTGTTGTAGAGCAAGTCACAAGCCAGAGAGAGAAATATAAAAGGTATCACCTGCTGTAATTCAAACAAGACCGGATTTTTTAATCTCTACGTTACCTTCACTCTCTGTGTCACTTTCGATTTGTCCATCAATCTCTATTCCAGCTGCAAGACAAAGAACAAAGAGTAATTGCATTTGTTGCTGGGATTTACACGCGCAATGCTTTACACAGCTAGTCCTGCCGTGCCAGCTGAGCTTGGCAGAATACCCCTTATTGATTACACATTATATTCTTTTCCTACAGTGACACTCTTAGTATTTACTTTAGTTTGGCAAATTGACAAAGGTTCCCTGCGTGAGCAAACCAAAATTGCACCATCTTTGAGAGATGCAAAGCGATGTGCTTGGAAAGTCATGAGACGTTTTCTCAAGTACTTGGCAGCATCCAAACTGACACGATCTCGTAGCGATACCAACCATCCTCCATGATGACCTGCAAAGCACATTTCTTTTTCTTCCCCATGACAGCCTTCCCGTCTTTTGCACTGACACTGTAGTTGCTGTGCTGTGCTCGCACACCCCAATCATACACAGGTTACTCTCTCTTCCATTGCCTATGTCCTTGTCTCCTTGCAGACAGATGGGCACGTCCAGCCGCTGGTGACCTCCTGGTTGCAAGCCATGTGGGCAGGGAGAGGCAAGGAAAACCCGGGCTCTGCCTCAGCCCACCCAAACACTTTCCCTTTGGCTCCCTTCTCCCTGTGAAAAAGCACCTGTTGGCATTACATTGCATTTCATTATTTAAACATGAAGGAAAGCCCTTTGGTGGGTACTTGGTGGTATCGTATGAAACACAGACACAAGTCACGTCTGGTTCTGACATAAGCATGTGGCTGGAGGCTTTGAAAGGATCAATTTTCTTAATGCCATATTCTTTACTGACCTGCGTCAATCTTTGTAACCCTGTTAAGTCATTCTCCTGCACCTTATTAAAGCTCTCAGTGTGATGCCCCTTGGGGCATGGCTGTGGGTCACCTTTTGTCCTCCATGTGTGTCCTCTGCAGGGGACTCATGAGCTAATAGATGCAGCAAGGAGTCAGGAGTCAGAACACCAGGATCTCTCTCTCTTTTGCTCCTCTGTTCCGTGTGACCTTTGCATACTCATTGCACTTGCTGGTAAAATAGGATAGATTTTCCTTCTAGGTGCTCTGAGGCTTAATTAATTAATGCGAGACCCTCATTCAGAAGGTCCTTTAGTACCGCAAAGGATTGTGTTGCATGCTGCAGCTTGCAGTCTTTCGATGGGCCAAGGATAAGTTTGTCTGAGCAATCTCTGGTGTAAAACCTGCAGCATCTGCCCCAGCTGTAGCTTTCTTAGGGAGCCGGGGCATCCCCAGCACAGGGTTTTGGGTGTTGCGGGTTGCACAGGAACAGTTTCCGAAGAGGAAAGCTTACCCTCTGGCCATCATTGAAATCGGCTGCGGACCCCTGTCTTGTGCCAGCATCCCTTGGGGAACCTGGCATGGTGACAGTATGCACAGATTTATTTTTTTTTCCCCAAGTGTTGGCTTTTGTCTGAGCAATCTCTGGTGTAAAACCTGCAGCATCTGCCCCAGCTGGAGCTTTCTTAGGGAGCCGGGGCATCCCTAGCACAGGGTTTTGGGTGTTGCGAGTTGCACAGGAACAGTTTCCGAAGAGGAAAGCTTACCCTCTGGCCATCATTGAAATCGGCTGCGGACCCCTGTCTTGTGCCAGCATCCCTTGGGGAACCTGGCATGGTGACAGTATGCACACATTTTTGGTTTTTTTTTCCCCAGTGTTGGCCGGGAGAGTGTTAATTCTCCCCCCTCCCCTCCCAAAACGAGGAATGTTGTGGAGATCAACTTGAGGCTGCTGCCACCATCGACTCTTGCAGGTGACTCCTGCTCTGGGTCAGGTGCATCAGCCTAAATGGGAGACTCTCTGCTTCTTTTTCAATGCTGAATTTTGATGCAAAGGCACCTTTCATGTATTTTAAGCCCAATCCCATGGGTTGTTTGATCTGTATTTGACTTTAGCTCAGTTCATCTGAGCTAAATACATAATGTATGGTATATGCCTATACATTATTAACAACTCTAACCCTGCAAGTTCGTTACACAGGGCATTTTCGCTGTGTGGTCCCCACACCAGTGGATCTGACTGGGACTGAAGACAGCAGTAGTGGCCTTTGAAGGTCTTCGCAGTCGACAAGCTTCACCTATAGCCCTATGTGTCAATGTGGTAGGTTGAAAAGTTGTTCCAAATGTGATCACTACGTCATTGCATTAATACTGCTCCAGGCAAAACAGAGCAATTCACAGATGCTGGAGGTGACTGGAATGGATATTCTGCAGCCTACTTCAGTTGCCTCAAGCCTCAGCCCTAAGCATCTCTTTCTCAGAGCATTTAAAGATTTCATTTTCCTTGTTAAATGAAAGCCAGCTTTCTGGAGAATCAGGTGGCAAGAGGCAAAAAGGGTCATCACACCTCTGCAGTACCATGCTCAGTGCTAGCACTGTTTCTGCTTCAGAACACCCTTCTTCTCCACCAAGGCACACTCAGATGGTGTTTGCACGCTCAGGGTATGCTCGTGTGAGTGTCTCATCACCAAAGGTATGCAAGATATTTCAGGAAGGAGTGAGTTGAGTGTCCTGGTTTCTGCCCTACCGCATGGTCAGTAATTCACCCATCAGCTACACTGTACCTGGGCCAGCCACAGGCTCCAGACCTCTTTGTGCCACTCGGCACACCCAGGGGTACCGAGTACGTGATGTCGAAAAGTGATGGGAACTGCAGATTCATTTTGCTGCAGTTTGCTGCGTCTTTGAGACCCGTGTACCCCTTCCTGAGAAATACTCTGTCTGCCAGAACGGCAGCTCGTGGGATGCCAACCTACCAAATAGTGCGTCCGGGTTAAACCTCTGCCTCCAGCTCTGAGCCAAAACGCCCATCCTGTGACTTTACAACCTGCACTCTGGTTCGTGGAGGTGGTGGCGGCAAGGTTGTGATGTTCTTACACTTTCAAATATAAGTTAACCCGGACAAACTTGCACTTTCATGGGCATACCCATCCTGTGACTTTACAACCTGCACTCTGGTTCGTGGAGGTGGCGGCGGCAAGGTTGTGATGTTACACTTTCAAATATAAGTTAACCCTGACAAACCTGCACTTTCATGGGCAGGGATCACCATCTTTCACACCACCAGCTTGGTTGGACTTCGCCACATGGGGAGGAGGGAAGTGCAGAATGGCTGGCAGTTATTTCCTAATGATGAGGGTCATTAAGGTGGCTGCCCAAGTGCTTACCCTTAAGGAAAAACCCCTACATTACCTTTCAGACTTGGCCTCTGGTACAACAAAGCGCTTTGTTTATGGTCTGCTGCTCCCTTCGCCTTAGAACCTCCAGATCAGCATAAACAAAATAACCCACCCCAGCTGCTGCCATCTTCCTCCTCTGGACGTGAGGTTCTATCTGTGGCTGGTGTGCAGCCACACAAGGATGATGAGAAACTTTTTGTCCTTTGTGGCACATGCCCTCGATGGGAGAGGCAGAGCCACCATCATGTTGAAGTGGACCAGGCAGCGCCAGAGGGTGGGATGCAGAAGACAGTCTGGGCTGGAGAGCCTCCAGGAGCAGGGATCAGTGCAACGAAGTGGTGTCATGCAAGCTGAGACCAAGAAAAAGTGCAGCATGGTTAGGCCAAACCACAGACTTGCCAGCTTTGTTTGCCTGTTGTGATTTTGGTCAGTGCTTGGAGATCTGTTATTTTCCCCCAGAATCAGGCTGGTGGAGATCTCGCTGTACCTCTGAGCTGGTTTTGCATTTGTAGTGCATTTCAGGTGGGCTGGACTCTGAAGACTGTTAGTCAAAAAGAGAAAGTTTAAAGAGAAGCATATAGGTATTTATATGCAACACTGAAATATTACAGAAAAAGATTAAGGGGAGGCGTTCTATAAAATGCTGTATTTGAAGTCCCAATCTAGTTGAAGATATCCCTGCTCATTGCAGGGGAGTTGAACTAGATGACTTTTGAAGGTCCCTTCCAACCAAAACTATTCTATGTTTCTAAGTAAGAAAAATACACTTCATTCGTGTCCTTTTGACACCCATCTTTCTTTGAAGGTAGAAGGTGCTTAGTTAAAAGAAACGCATACAAAACCTTTGTAACAACCCCCAAGGATGGCAGGCCTGGGAGAGCAATGGGACATCTGTGCTGAGAGAAGAGGTAGCACATGAGGACTCTCCATGTCTCCGCATGTGCATCAGAGAGATGACAGATCCCAAAATAGCTCCGTGTAGGGCTGACCTGAGCTTCCATAGCTGTACAACGGGGAAATGCTGCCATTCTTCAGCCACCGAGCGTGCTGCCGTCCTCAGCTTATGAGCCTGATTTTCCTAAGAGGATAAAGTGTCTTGCAGGGTTTATGATTTCTTAGGATTATGGATCGGGGGGGGGGAATTAATGGATTAGTTTTTTACCTTGAGTTATTCCACACAAGGTATGAATAAGTAATGCGCGACCATGACTCCAGCTATTGCTTATGTAAATGTCAGACTTTGTATGCAGAATGTGAGCAATTTGTGAAGTTGTAGTGCTGATTTTTTTTGTCCTACGCTATTTAGCTTGTCTTCTCACATTGGTGACTAGCACTATATAATTTGGCAGTTTTGAGTTTTAACATACGGGGACGTTGGGCTTCTCACACACCTCCAAGTGTTAAATAAAAAGCAGTTGTGTTATGGAGAGAGGGTAACTGAATCCTAGGAGCACACACAACATGCTTCTAAATGCTTAATGAGCTAGTGTTTCTCCCTTCCTTGCTTTCTGATTAACATAGGTCTTTAGCTAATTAATCCACGGATTACATTTATTCAATATTCATCTCATCTATAAGTAATCTTTACTTGAGAAGATTTTTCGATAGCAGCAATAATACCTGATCTGTGTGTGGATATTTTGACGAGGTCCTAAACCTTTCAAACTGCTGGAGCCAACTCTAATGATCCATCTGAGACAGACATTTAAAAGTTAGAGATCCCAACACTGACTCAGTTCTGCCTGACTGTTTAAGAAAACTACATTGAAAAAAAAAATAAATTAAAAAATCATATTTTCCAGAGTCTCTCAGGCATGCTTCATAAAACTGGATTCAGCTCAGCTGTGATCCAATCTGGCTTGTGACCAAAATCTGGGGTTTACTATGCAAAAAAAGATTTCTGACTAAGTCATGGAAATCCAGCATGGGCTACATATTAACCTGAGCACATAGGTACGCAGAGGTGATCCGTGCCCTCATGTAATCTCTGCAATGCTGTAGTGTTTCTCTGTGCTTTGGTACGAGGGTCTGCAGTGACCTCTGGCAGAGCAGCATGGAAACACTCAGAATGTGAGGACTCGTCAGCAGTGCTCACGGCGAACAGGTGGGTGGAGGGCGTCATTAATTTAACATAATCTGGCAAAGAAATTTCTCAGCTTTTTTTTCATTCTCTGAAAAGAATC